GGGGAGGCCCGGGCTCCGTGCGGGCCCGCGGGGAAGCTCCGGGTGCCGGGTGCAGGCGGTGGCTGTAAGGTGGGCAAGTCATTGCTGAGTCGTTTTGTTCTTTTCCTCTGAGGGATGAGTGGTTTGGGGATGAGTTTATCATCCGAGACTCGTCTGAATCCACCCAAGCGTCGACAGGGGCCGCTCGCCAAATAGGCCGTGTCTTGCCTGGTGGGGACATAAGCCTTTTTTTTTTTTTCCTTCCGTGGCCCTTCTCACCCCTTGTTCCCAGGAAGGGATTTGAATAGTCATACATGGGGAGGTATCCACGGAGTGGAACGGGTTAGCTGGTGCTGTTTATGATGTGCCATCTTTGGAAGGCTCGAGAACGTTGCCACTCAAAAGAGCGGGGGAACCCTAGATGAGAAAGCCTTCTGGCTTTATAAAATACTAAGATAACCCAGAAATGCACGGGTCACCCCCAAAATCATGCTCTGAGCACTCTGTGATCATGCTTTTTCTTCAGCGATAATTACATGAGTAACATGTAATATTTATATGCGCCTTAGGCTCCACTTCTAACACTCACTTGCTCCTCTTTTTAATTATTTTTTTTGTGTGTGTGTGCTTTGATGTTGATTGGTTTGCATTTATCTCATTATAGCTTGCCCATATATAAAAGCAGACGTTGGAGCTGTTAATGGTATTGTTTCCTTCACATGAAACTTTGAAATGGCTCTCCACACTTTGCTTTCTGTTGCCATTCTTCTCTTCGTTTAGTGTATACGAGTTTCATATTCCTTTCGTAAGCTACTCCAACCCCAGTTTCTTTGTGTTACAATCTGTTATATCACCACCCCAAGATTAAGCTCCAGTCTTATCACTTCCTTATTCAGAATCCTTAAGTGACGCTTCAGCATTAAATTAAGGTCCAGACCCACTAACTTGGTCTCAGAGGTTCTCACAGGCTGGCCATATGGCATCCTAGCTTGCTACTGCTATGGTGTGTATATTCCATTCTCCTGGAACCTCACTTTACCTCTTTATTCCAGAGACCCTATATTTCCCCTTAATGTTGATTCCCTTACTCATGATGCATTCTTTCCATTCTTGTTATAGACTTTAACCATTTAGAGCTAGTCCACCAATAGATTGTTAGTGGCAATGTGAATTGGTGCCATCTCTTAGGAGGGCAGTTTTGCAATGTCTAAAGAATACAAAAGCAGGGCTGGGAAGGTGGCTCAGTGGTAGAGTGCTTGCCTTGCATACATGAGGCTTTCAGTTCCATTCCTCAGCCCCACATAAGCAGAAAAAGCCGTAAGTGGGGCTGAGGCTCAAGTGGTAGAACGCTAGTCTACAGCTGAAGAGCTGAGGGACAGCGCCTAGGCCCAGAGTTCAGGCCCCATGACCGACCAAAAAAAAAAAAGGATACAAAAGCGTTTGTCTCAATTGTACTTCTAACGTGTATTCTACAGAAGCCGCCGTGAATGTGCAAAGATCACACTGCAATATTATTTGAAATAGCAAAAACATAAAAAGAAGTTCAATAACTCACCCACAGGGGGATGGTTATACAAACTATGGTATAATTCCTATTCGTTAAAAAAAATGCAGTAGATTTATATTTGTTGCTATAGAAAGATACATAAGACTGTATGTATCTATGTATGTATGTATATATAAATAAGAAAAGCGGATGGGCATAGTAGTATACAAATCCCACCACTTGAGAGACTGAGGCAGAAGGATCATGAGTTAGAGGCCATCTTTGGCCACATAGTAACACCAAGACCCGGTCTCAAAAACAAAAAAAGTGAGAGGACACAGAATCAGAGGAACAAGGGTGAAAAAGTGCAGCAATGGAGTGCATTGGCTGCACTGGACATTGATTGAAAGTGAACTATGCAACTCATGGGTAGAGATGGGAGGGGGGAATGGGAGAGAATGAGGGAACAGATGACACTATGTGAAAGGAAATGTACTTACTACCTGACCTATATAAAGGTAACCTCACTGTATATCACCTCTAAAACAAGTAAATTAGAAAAAAATAGAGAGGAAGGTTTCATAACACAAAAAGAGAAAGGTCTCACCACAGTAAGACATATATTTCCTTTATGATGCAAAGTCAATTTTGGAAGACTATGTAAGAAACTCCATTGAGGGTTAGAGGATAAGAAGGCGTTTTACTTTTGAACTTGTACCCACTTCCATAGTTAAAAAATTTTACAGTAAGAAACACATAAAAAGAAAAGGGAAGGAGAAGGAAAGAAGGAAGGAGCGAGTGAACTTCAACTCCTCCTCATTTCCCTTAGGAATTATTCTTAGACTTCTGTAATGGATGTATTTCCCCTGTAATGATACCTGTCCTACTCTGATGTCCTTGCATCGCTTAGGAGGGCAGTTTTGCAGAAGCCTTCCAGGGCCTTGAACCTTTTGTAATATGGACAAATACTTTTTTTTTTTTTAAGCATCTGGATTCTTAAGTAGTTTAGAATTAGTGTCAGTATTTCAGCTCCTTGAGTGAAGATTTGAAAGTTTCAGTTCATTGTATGGTATGATTTTCCTTTAGTGCTATGCAACAGTCATTTTTGGTGGTATTGCCTTTTAGTGCTTATTACAAAGGAACGTCAGTTGTTTAATCCTGTTAGAGGATCTGCCTTGAAAAATACATAAACATCTGGCCGCGGTGGCTCACACCTTTAATCCTAGCAACTCAGGAGGCTGAGGTCTGAGGATCACGGTTCAAAGCCAGCTTGGGCAGGAAAGTCTGTGAAACTCTTTTTGTTGTTGTTGTTGTTGGTCATGGGGCTTGAACTCTGGGCCTGGGCACTGTCCTTCAGCTCTTTAGATCAAGGCTAGCGCTCTACCACTTGAGCAACAGCGCCACTTCAAGTTTTCTGAAGATAAGGGTTTATTGAAGATAAGAGTTTCATGGACTCTCCTGCCTGGGCTAGCTTTGAATCACGATCCTCAGCTCTCAGCCTTCTGAGTAGCTAGGATGACAGGCGTGAGCCACCAGCACCCAGCATCTGTGAGACTTATCTCTAATGAACCACCAGAAAACTGAAGTGGCACTGTGACTCAAGTGGGAAAGTGCTCACCTTGAACTGAAGTGCTGAGGGACAGCACCCAGGCCCAGAGTTCAAGCCCCACAACTGACAAACATTAATCCTAGAATTTGGACTTTATGTTAAACTAGTAGCTTAAATAACTTTTTCTCTGGTGTAGTTTACTCCTATAATTCTAGAACACAGGAGATTGAGACAGGAGAATTGTGAGTTACAGGCCACCTTGGGCCACAAAGGTAGACCCTGTCTGTAGAAACGAACAACAACAAAAAGTAACAACACAGAAAAATACCTTTTGAGTGCTAATAATCCCTCCCGCTCCCTTTTTTTTTGTGCCAATCCTGGGGCTTGAACTGGGGGTCTGGGTGCTGTCTCTGACCTTTTGTGCTGAAAGGTCATGCTCTTATCACTTGAACCACAGCTCCACTTCTAGTCTCTTGAACTTTTCCTGTCCAGGCTGGCTTCAAACTGTGAGCTTCAGATCTTAGCCTCCTGAGTAGTAGCTAGAATTATAGATATGAGCCATTGGTGCTGTGCTTTAACACTCCCAACCCCCCCTCTCTTCCCCCCCCCCCTGCCTTTTTTAAAGAAAAGCTTAGATAAAATGTTAAAAGGAAAGAATATTTGTAGAACCTGGTGCTGGTGGCTTGTGCCTGTAATCCTAGCTATTCAGAAGTCTGGGGTGACGATTTGAAACCATCCCTGGCAGGAAAGCTTATGAGACTCATCTCAGATTATCCAAAAAAGCTGAAAGTGCAGCTGTGGCTCAAGTGGTGCAGTGCTAGCCTTGAGCAAAAAAAAAGCTGACGGACAGTACCGAGGCTCTGAGTTCAAGGCCCAAGACTGGCACCAAAACAAAAAACAAGCCCCTGTAAGTTGGGATGATAGGTGTTTGCCTTCATCTCCGCTGTGGGCCTTCTTCCCTCCTTCCTGCTTATGGAATTAACTTGTTTCCTAAATTTGATTTTTGCTTGGGGACAGGATTAAGTGATGCTTCTCCGGATGAAGGATTTACAGTAGAGGACTTGATGGTTGAAGACAAAGCTGTTGAGCAGCTGGCAGAAGGATTGCTTTCTCACTACTTGCCAGATTTGCAGAGATCCAAGCAGGCCCTGCAGGAACTCACGTAAGCTAACAAAAAGTCAGGTCTGCATTCATTTCCCCTCTCTGTTAAAGTTGTGTATATATTGGTGTGCACACACAGAGATACCCATATACATATATGTTTCTTTCTTTTTTTGAGGGGAGGGAGTTGGTTGTGGGGCTTGAACTCTCAGGGCCTGGGTGCTGTCCCTGAGCCTCTTTGTGCTCAAGGCTGCGTTCTACCGCTTGAGCTACAGCACCACTCCCAGCTTTTTCTGAGTAGTTAATTGGAGGTAAGAGTCTTAGAGACTTTTCTGCCTTGGCTGGCTTTGAACTAAGATCTTCAGATTTTAGCTTCCTAAGTAGTGAGGATTTCAGGCATGAGCCACCAGTGCCAGACTTGGAACACTAATTTTAAGATAAACCTTGCAAGTGTGATGTAATTGGAGAAGCTTGGAATCCCAGTATAACGAGTAGTTATGATTGGAGAATGATGGCTTGAGGCTAGCATGGGCAGAAAGTTAGTGACACATCTCCTCAATCCCATCTCAACTAAACAAGCTGGGCATGGTAGGTCACAGCTGCAATCCCAGCTATCTGAGGCATTGGTAACAGGATAGGTGAAGTGATCCCAGGAAAAAACAAGATATTTTACTTGAACAACTAAATAAAGGGCTTAGACATGGCTTAGGTGGTAGAGTATCCTCCTAGCAAGCTTGAAGCCCTGAGTTCAAACCCCTGGTACCTCCATTCAAAAAAAAAACAACAACAACAGAAAGTTGAGTTTCTTAGGCTAGTTATTATAAAGTAACTTTTTTTGAGGGGAGAAAATACAGTTACTAAAACTAATAATAAAATACTTTTAAATTACTTGGTTATTTTAATAATTAGAGGCTGAACTTGAGGCAATAATGAAAGTCACATTTATTTGTTAAAGTATTATCTTGAAAAAATTATGCTAAATTGAACAAGCCTTGGAAGGGCAATCAATTTCCAACTTAATTTCTAACTTTCAACATTGATCCAGATGTTTGAGATTTTTTTAAAATAAACTAACAATTACAGTGCATGAGACTTATTTGTCCATGTGCTTTTTGTTTCAGACAGAACCAAGTTGTATTACTAGACACACTGGAACAAGAGATTTCAAAGTTTAAAGAATGCCATTCCATGTTGGATATTAATGCTTTGGTAAGTATGATTTTCTTGATGTAATGACATTCTGTTGTAGAAATAACTGGTTTTTATCCCCCCAGCTCTGTGTTGGTGTATCTTTAGGATCTTTAACCTCTAATTTTTTTTTTCTTGTTCTTGGGTTTATTTCGGGGCCGGGCTCTGTCCCTGAACCTTTCTATGCTCATGCTTAAGGCTAGCGCTCTACCACTTGAGCCACAGCACCACTTCTGACTTTTTCTGAGTAGTTCATTGGGATAAGGGTCCCATGGACTTTTCTGCTTGGGCTGGCTTTGAACTGTGAATTCTCAGGTCACAACCTCCTGGCTAGTTAAGATTATAGGTGTGAGCCACTGGCCCCTGGCTAAAATTGGTCTTTTTGTAGAGAAAACCTTCCTTTATTTATTTTACTAGAGCTTCCAGATTCTTGAATCACTGTCTTTTGTATGTTGCACTTGTAACAGACAGTTGAAGAACTTATGAATCTAGAATAGATCAGCTTATAATTAAAGGTGTAGAAAAGAAAAGTGAGAGGAAGGAACTTTGGGGAACTGCTTTTGCCATTAAGGAAAGTGCATCTTCTATCAGTTACATGATTTCTTAAGTTGGCATTTCATTGAATTATCAGGCATTATGTGCAATGCCATAGTAAGTTCATTTCATGAGCTGGAATGGACACCTTAAAATAATTAATTCATCTCTGAGGATAAATAGAGTGGTTGAATTTCTTCAGAAGCTGTTGAGAGGAACTGATAACTATTTTAAGGGGAACATCAGAAATAAGAGTTGATGCTCTTTATTTCAACATTAGTAATTGCTTGGTTTGTATGATTTTGTAGGGATTTATAACTACCCCAAAGATGGATTTTTCACTGGACACATATGGTTTAGCAATATTCTCCTTGTGCAATAATATTTAATAATAATAATAATAATCTGTATTAGGCCTGTTGTAGTAAGGGCAGATCTGTGCACGGTAGTTCCTGACTTCTTGTGAAGGAGGTGAGCAAGGCTACTCTGACCTACTACTTTCTTCCTTGCCCAGTTCACCTTGCTGTAGAATACTGTTTATTGAAGCATGTGTAATTCTGTTGCTTTAGTCTAAAGGGTCAGAGACCGAATCTTCTCCTTTTTCTTCTTTCAGTCCAAGATTAGTTTTAATTATATAAGCACTGAAAAGTGGAAGGCTTTGAGTGGTGCAGAGATGATCTGTTAGTCCTAGAGCTCATCAGACTATGATTTTACTCGCGGCTATGTTACGGTTTCAAATCTGTCTGCTGACACTTTTCTTGTTTCTTTTCCTATTGCCTTGTCTGAGGACAAGGCATTCTTCCCTTTTCTCCCACCTCTATGAGTCTGCCTCATCCTCCCATCTTCTGACAGGGACAGGTAGGCCAACTGAGCTTACAAAGTGTGTATTTACGCTTGTGGGAGGTAGAGTCTCCTCACGTAGGCGGCTGTTTTGCTTGGTCCAACCCCAAAAAGCAAAGGAACATGACTGAACATTTCTTTGTGCTCTTGGGGATTTCTGGCACAGCTTGGGTTTTCTTGATAAGCAGATGAGTCACACTATACTGTCCTTATATGTCCTGTGTACCCTAGCATACTCTCTCCTTTATAAAGGAGTGTTTTAGACAGTTTTAATTTCTTAAATGAAATAGATGGCATTATTGGATAGTTTCAACTTAGATTTTAGAACTATACATGTTTTTAAAGCACAGTGTACTCTATACTAAATTTAATGTGAATATCTCTTTTTGGGCTTAGCAAATTGTTTAGATGTATTCTATTCTGGAGTCTAAAAAGTAGATAATATTAAGGTTCTACAAAACTTGAGCAGTTTAGGAAGTTTAGGTACTTTCAGCTGGTTTGGCTGTTAACTGCTTTTTGCAATGTAGGCACTGACATACTGACTCATTGTGATATTCTAGTCTGTGTTAACTTGACTTCTCATTTACTTTACTGTGGTTAGTTCACTGAAGCAAAGCATTACCATGCCAAATTGGTGAATATAAGAAAAGAGATGCTGATGCTTCATGAGAAGACATCCAGGTTAAAAGTAAGTTGAAAACTCTTTTTACATTCTTTATAAAACTGAAAGTTTGTTTCATTTTTTGACTTTTTATATCTCTACCTACAGTAACATACTTAAATCATTAATTTCTTTTAAAAAATTGTCATTTTGAACCCTTCTTAGCTTTACTGTTACCTTGGGCTTGATAAGCCCATATTTTCTGCATATACAACTACTATTTCATTTAATAAGGGTTTGGAATAACTAACACATATTTTGTTGAATCAAAGGACCATAAATTACCAGAAATCATATTTATAAACCAAATGTGTGATGTCTTGGATTATCTCAAGCCAAATAATCACTTTTTTTTTTTTTTGTCGGTTGTGGGGCCTGAACTCTGGGCCTAGGCACTGTCCCTCAGCTTTTCAGCTCAAGGCTAGCACTCTACCACTTGAGCCACAGCACCACTTTTGGCTTTTTCTGCTTATGTGGCGCTGAGGAATCGAACCCAGGACCTCATACGTGCAAGGCAAGCACTCTACCGTGGAGCCACCTTCCCAGCCCAAAGAATCACTTTTAAGTTAGGGCACCATTTTAAAATTAGGTCATAAACTATAACCCTTGATTGTTGACTTGAGTTTTAATTTTTTTTATTTTTTGACACAGAAAAGAGCACTTAAACTGCAGCAGAAGAGGCAAAAAGAAGAGCTGGAGAGGGAGCAGCAGCGGGAGAAGGAATTTGAAAGGGAAAAGCAGTTAACGGCCAAACCAGCTAAAAGGACATGAAAAGTCGTGTCTGTGTGCATTTTCTTTTCTTGTCCCATATTCTTTGGATGTAAGAGGAAGTGAGTGGAGTGAGGTTCAGGTAGTGCCTTATACCTTTGTGGTGGTTAGTTTTAAGTCCTTGTTCCAGGATTTATGTGCTCCATATCTTCCTTTCAGTCATTCAAGAAGCCTTTCTTCCTAAATAGTAGATGCAGTATCATTTGTTTTTGATATTTATATGTACTTTTTCAACTTTTGCTTAATTTAAAAATTCATTCTTTTGATCTTAGAGTCATTTATAAAGTATAAAATGCTTTGACCACAAGTGTAGACTCAGACAGGCGCTGATGGCTTACACCTATAATTCTCGCTTCTCAGGAGGCTGAGATCTTAGGAACACAGTTCATAGCCAGCCTGAGCAGAAAAAGTCTGTGAGACTCTTAACTCCAATTAGCTACCAAGAAAGAAAAAAAAAAAGAAGCCTGAAAGTGGAGCTGTGGCTCAGGTGGTAGGGTGCAAGCCTTGAGCATAAAAGCTCAGGGATAGCACTTAGAGCTCAAGCCCCAAGACCAACACACAGAGTCTAGACTCCCAAGTATTCAACATGAGTCCGAATGTTTTAGCTCCTTGAGTGTTGACTTAAAAGTTTCATTTTAATATATGATATGAATTTGTTTTTTCTGTAGTGCAACACTCATTTTTGGTAATTGCCTTTTATTGCTTAGTTACGGAATACCAGTTGTTTAAGAGTGCACTGCTAGAAAAACGAGACGGTAAGTCTTTGTGAAGGATGTAATGGGAAAATATGTATATATAGGAAATAATAACACCTTCGATGTAGACTGTGGTGGGTGCCAGTTTCTAGCCATGTATTCTCTGTTTCTTAGTGTTGATGCGTATTCAGGTTTTGGCTTAACGTAGGTTACATCCATTCCTAAAGTTTGGCAGAGATCGCAGAGCTATCACATACTCATCTGTACTTAGTCAAATGTAGTAACAGTTGTCACACACTGAGCTACAGTTCCTATATGTACAGCTTTTAAAACTCCTTAGATGGATTGAAATGTACCAACTCCCCGCTTTACAGGTAACAATAGGATTGGTAGAAAATTAGTAAATAGTGTCACAAAAGAGGCGGCATGATACCTTCAGTATTACTTAGGATTTTTTCTGATATTGTGTATATGAACTCCTTATGTGAGGTAAATTTATGAGGTTATAAAACAAGCGTGTATTACTATTATTTTAGTATATCCAAATAGTCTCTGATGTCTATTATGTATGTACTGTAAAAAACCTGTGAAAGTGTGTGAGTAGAATGTATATCTTGTACAATCCATATCACCACATGGTAAACTGGAATCACTACCTCTGACCATCTTCAGGCCAATGACAGAGAAAGCACTAAAGTTGAATGTTAAGAACGGACCTGTTTAAAGGTTTAAACAATTTCATGAGTGAAATATGACATTACAGTTCACTTGACTTGGACATTATATTGAAAACTATATTTTATTTGAGTAGGTGTTGGCCTCTTGCTAAGTTTGTGTAGTAGGGCTTGCAGGCCAGCGTCTTCTAAATTGTTGAATGTACTTATTTATAATATATGATAAAGGCTGTGCATTTTTTGCCAGAGTAGTTTTAGACCAACTTCCGTTGTTGTTTAAAATGCTGGTTCCTGGACATCACTTTTCAATCTGTTGAAGTTAATCTATTTTTATTGTTGTTGCTCTATTTTTGTTTAAAAGGTTCCCCCAGTGATTCTTATATACCTTGAAAGATCAGAACCACAGGTCTGGCGGCGAAGGTCTGGGCTTCTTCCCACACTAAGATGCATATCAGCTTCAGTTGGAAACTTGAAATATACACATTCCAAATTCTTGTTTATTAGTTCTGATGTGAAGACCATATGTTTTTAGAGTGCTCCCCAGATAAATATGAAGAAAGAACCAGATGTTTAGAATAGTTTAGCCGTAGAATAGTTTAATCAATAGCATTTGGCATTAATTTTAAATTTTAAACTGCTGTTTTTGATATACAGTCAAATTTAAGGCTGAACCCTAGCTGGCAGGAAATAGATATGTACATCTGGTAAACTGATTGAACTTTAATGAGTTGTATTAAAGTGAATCATGTTTATTTAATGAGTGGCAAGGCATATGGACTTTCAGAATTACATTGCTGAAGTTTTAAAAACTTAAAAATCACAAAGCAGCAGGGTGCTGGTGGCTCACACCTATCATCCTAGCTACTCTGAGGATCATGGTTCTCCGGATCACGGTTCAAAGCCAGCCTGGGCAGGAAAGTCTGTGGCTCAAGTGGTAGAGCGCTAGCCTTGAGCTGAAGAGCTGAGGGACAGCGCCCAGGCCCAGAGTTCAAGCCCCACACCAGCAAAATAAATAAAAATCACAAAGCAAATACATATTACCCATTATTTTAAGGTCATGGATAAATCCTTACCTTGGTAATTAAAATCTAAAACTTTAGCCCGTTACAGTAACCTAGAAACTTAACTAACTAAATTAAAGCCTGTACAGTTAGTCTTAATGTTTTTTTTTTTTTTTGCAAAACAGGGAATTGATTGAAAAAGTTGCCTTTATTTTGGAACTCTGAAATGTGTACTGAGCCGAGATAATGGGTACTGTGCAGTGAGCATTATATAAATATGCAGACACTGAATCTGCTACCGATTGTGTCCATAGGGAAGATTTTGATGTATTCAGCCTAAATATACCCAGTTACCAAACCTAAAACATTTGTCTGGTGTTTGTCTTGTAAAACAGTGATTACTTTTTGTGCATTTAATAAAATCTCTTAGTCAGTATTTATCTAGCAGCATCCTGTACATGGTGTGGTATAGTTCCTTCTTTGTCTATTATGCATCCTACTTTTTTGCTGTTCTTCTCTCTTCTTCCTCCAAGGTTCTTCATGGATTGAGTAACAAAAATGCCAATCTACTTCTCTTCAAGAAAAATGATAGGAAGTATGTGAAAAGTATAGTAGACATACCCTGACTTCATAAAGTTCTTGTTGCTATTGTTATATTGTTATTTTGGCAATATTGGAGTTTGAACTCAGAGCCTCACACTTAGTATGGGCTGGTTCTCTACCATTTCAGTCACACCTCCAGCCTTCTTTTTTGCTGGTTATTTCAAGGTAAGGTTGTCAAGTTTTTCAGCCTGGGCTGGCCTTGAACTACAGTTGTTCTGTTCTCGGTCTCTGGACTATCTGGGATTACAGGTATGAGCCACTGGTGCCCAGTTTCCTTTACAGTTCTTTTAGAATAAATATAATAGCTATAACCTAGCTGTCTGTAATCCTCGGGAGGCTGATGTGGAAGAGCTATGAGTTTGAAGCTAGCCTAAACTACATAGTGAGGTCTACCATTTTTTTAGAAAAGCTATTTTAAAAGTTTGGCAAAAAGTGCTTAGCTTGGTTTGCTTTGTGAAGCCAAATGCCATAGTAAGAGTAAAGCAAAAAACAAGTAGTCTAATGACTCGTGTCTGTAACCCTAGCTATGCAGGAGGCTGAGATCTGAGGATTGTGGTTTGAAGCTGGCCGGGGCAGGGAAGTTCATAAGACTCTTATCTTCAATTAAGAAGCAGAAAATGAAGCTGTAGCTCAAGTGGTAGAACACTAGCCTTGAGCAGAAAATGCTTAGGGACAGTGCCTAAGCCCCGACTATTTAAAAAAAAAAAAAAGCATTTAAAAGAAAAACTCCATAGACAATGTAAGTAAAGGAAAGGCAATTAGAAGATGGGTAAAATTTGGAGTATGGGTGATAATGTAGAGGTAGAAAAGGAAAGACTATCACCAAAGTGGAAGGCCAGGACACTCTATGAACATTCCATGAATAAGGCCTATAGGCTAGTAAAAAAAAATTTCACTTGCTTTTAGGATTAAAAAAATAAGTAATAGAAGGTTGCCCCCTATCGTCACTTCATTATCAACTGAAGAAGAGGTAGCTGCTCATTCTGGTTTATACCATGGATGTATTCCTGATGTACTCCAGGAAGTCCACAGTAGTCAAGTTCAGGTAAGGACGGAGCAGAAAAATGAGTGATAATGTGTGGATGCTGAATACTTACTTTTTTTTCTTGATGGTTTTATTAGTCCATTTGAAAAGATGGTTGGAATATGAAGAAATAATAAGAATCATGTCTATAAACCTGAAGCTTCCTGGCCTCTGATGGTAAAATTTAAAAATATTTAATGCAGGGGCTAGGAAGGTGGCTCAGTGGTAGAGTGCTTGCTTAGCATGCACGAGGCCCTGGGTTCCATTCCTTAGCACCACATAACCAGAAAAAGCCCCAGCAGTGGTGCTATGGCTCAAAACTAGCCTTGAGCATAAAAAAAACTCAGGGGCAGTGCTCAGGCCCTGAATTCAAGCCCCAGGACTGGCAATATATGTTCTTAAAACATTAGGTCCCTAGTAATAAAACGGCACTGTGGACTCTGAGGCAAGACTTGTCTTGGTTCATTTTCCTACTTGATTTGGGGTCTTGGAGCAAATTGCTTAAATTCTATGTCTTTTTTTTTTTTTTTTTTTTGGTCCTGGAGAGATCGAACCCATCCTTGATATGCAAGCACTTTGCTACTGACCTACATCCCGGCCCCAGTTTCTGGAAAGTTGGAATAACCCAAGAGTTTCTTGCTTCATAAGATGGTGAAGTTTTGCCAATTTTTGTATAAAAGTCTTAATAGAGTTCAAAGGTCGAATGTTATCTGAGTGCCTAGACATCACAGGTACACCCAGGGGAGCATACTTAATTTTGCATTTTTTGCTTATAAGTTTTCTATTGCCTAGAATCCTTTGTCCTGTAATCTCTTACTGTCAAAACTCCATTCTTCACATCCTCAAGAACTTTTTTTTTAGTACTTTCATTTACTTAGGATATTAAAAACCTTTTTTTTTTTTTTTTTTGCAGTAGTAGGGTTTGAACTCAGAACCAAACACTTCCTAGGCAGGTGCTCTAAGCTACTATTGGAGCCAGACCCCTACCAAAATCTTAGTTTTCTTTTCAAAATTTATTTTTAAAAATATATTTTCAGTAATAGAGTTGGAACTCAGGTCCTTGCAGGTAGGTACTATACCACTTGAACCATGCCCCCAGCTCTCAAAAGATACTTTTTTTTTCTGATCTGTAGTTGATGTGTTAAAGGTTTTCCAGAGAAACAACCAGTAAGATGCTTAGTTTTTGGTGGTAGTATACACCAATAGTACAAGAGGTTTTATTCATGTTTATATGTATAGGGAGGGGTACATGCATTCATGATAGGAATAAAAAAATGGGTTTGTGTATGTGAGAGGATGTGAAGAAAGGGAATGAGTAAGGTTAGACTGAGATGGAAGCTAGCAAGTCTGAAATTTTTAGGCAGGGTGGAGACAGAGGTTTAGAAGAATTTAT